CATAAATTATAGTCTCGCTGTTACATCATTCCAGCATATTGTTAATGTGATTTCGTTGTCCTATTGAATAATTTCGAAATCGTAAACAAAATTCACGTCGTTGGTCATGTGACTGACTATTTTGTATAACGAAATGTTTTATTTTTACGTCAAGTTTGGGACGTTACCAAATAATAGAAAATTAGTGGATAATGCAGCCATTAAAATTTTACATCACCAATCCATTGTCTTCGAAGTATGATAAGTACATAGTGTGGAAAAATCTTTTAGTTTTGAAACTTATCCAAGATATATGTCATTATAAAAAGTAAAGATTTTATAATCTATCGGTTTAATCTCATGCTTTTTATGCTGACTAACATGCTCTTGAAATCTACACATTAGGACATCAGTGTATTCACTGTTGCAGGTAATTATTGGAGGACACGAACAATTATATCAATTTTTTGTGCTATTGCGATGTATGCTACTTATACTGAAAGATATAAACAGTATGTGGCACCAGTCGGAAGTGGAATTCCTGGAAGCAGAAGGTTGAAATGAAGAGAACAAGAAGAAAATCAGAGCGATCTAAGGAACAAATACTCTGACACAGCCGAGAGTGGGGAGAGTCAGCTCTCCTCGAAATGCTCTCAAATGGCCACGTACATAAAACGACTACCAGGGAAGTCCCACTTAATGACTTCTCGTGGAGGGGATGTTGTTTACAAAACTGAGAGGACGAGAAGTGAATGTCCGGCTCTTTAACCGGGTTGTTAGATTTAGAGGATCCATTTAGGGAAGTAGGGAAACCCTGATTCCAAATCAATGGTGTACATTGGCTCCGGGATCTTGCGGGAACAAGTGGCGTATGAACCTGATGTCAGTCGCCGGCTACCATGGGACTGCATATCCTAACGTTGCTCCACTGCCTTGTGGACTAGACTTTTAGGTCAAAGACCCTAGGTGTGGCCTCCTACGAAAACCACCTGCTTTGGTTTGGGCGCTAGGGCAGTAATTCAGCCCTCACACAAGTCGAATGATTTATGTGGCGCATATCTATTTGGTGCCTCCTTGCACCAATGTTTGTGTGTTTAAATAAATAAGTAAAGACTTTAATATTATCATTTTTGTCTGATGGGAAAATATAAACAACATATGGGTGTATGACCTGGTAAAAATGAGGAATTAACAATGAAGCATGAAAATAACATTGAATATACAGTTATATACAATACAATGTTTATTTATTTATTTTTGTTTGAACACATAAATATTGCTACAAGGATGCGCCAAATATATATGCGCCACACAAAACAATGAGAATCCGAAGAGAAAAAAAGAACAATAACGAACAGATTAGTTTAAGGTCGTGTAGTAATAATAATAGTAATAATCGGAGAAACGGAAAGGTACAGTCAGAAGAAATCTTTCAGTTAAGGAAGACAACCACTTTTTATGAAGAAAGTAAAAGAAGGTTACAGCAGGATCGCCACTGGCTTCTATTCTGAACCATATCTGATAACGTCTCTAGCCACTGTGTAGCACCATCTCTCGGACCCCAACCAGGGAGTCGTGAAAAACCAACAGAAACCAGCCCTTTGCAGATTTCTTTCATACCACGACACCATATCATGCACTGACCACATCTCCGCTTTTTCCAACCAGTCCCAGCGTCGGTAAATAATAATGCACGACGTGGAATTCTCTGGGACGACATTCGTAGAATATGTCCAAGCCACCAAAGTCGACGTTTCAAGATGGTGACACCAATTGCATTATCGTCTCTGTGCCCGAACACACGATGCCGAACCTCTGCATTACTGACATGGTGTTGCCACTGGATGTCGGCAATCCTTTGGAGACAACGATGATCAAACACAGAGAGTCGTCTAACGTCCTCAACTCGGAAAGGCAAGGTTTCACAAGCATAGAACAGAACTGCTCTCACCGACGCGTTGTAGATCCGACCCTTTACAACCAGACTATCATCACGAGGGTGCCAAAGATGGCCCAGATTGGCATAAACCGCTCTGGCTCTCACTATACGTGCATTGATTTCACCACTCACGCCACCACCAGCACTTATGCAGCTACTCAGGTACACGAACTTCTCAACTACTTCTATCTGCTCACCATCCAGATTGAGTACAGGATTAGAATCCTGCCAGTCTTGTAGAAGTACTTTGCACTTCGAAGGTGCAAAGCACATACCGTACCTACGGACACTGATTGCCAACTGATTAAGGGCGGATTGCATGGCTTGGGCATTATCGCACAGTAAGACAATATCATCCGCATACTCAAGGTCGAGAAGTCTTTCTCCGGGTAACAGATCCACAACCTACGAAGTATGACGGAAGCCAATAGCTTGGACGCAATCGGAAGTAGACTTATCCCCTGATAGTTGTTACAGGAACGACGTGTACCCTTTTTAAAGATAGGGACAACTATCGACTCATCCCATGACGTTGGTACACTCTCTAGCTCCCAAACCTTTGTAAACAACGTCGTCAATTCCTTAGTTAGAAAGTCCCCACCATCTTTTAAAAAAGCCGGAGGTAAGTCATCTGGGCCAGGTGATTTGTAACGCTTCAAGAGTTGGAGTTCCTTGCGGACTTCCGCCTCATTTGGTGGATCAGTCTTCACCGGCCATGGAGGGCAGGACAGTCTGACCGATGTTGCCGGAGCAGCAGGCCAGTTGAACTGCCCTTCGAAAAATTCTGCCCATCGTCCAAGACGTCGATGGATGTTAGTGATTGGCGTTCCGTCATCCTCGCAGATTTTTTCGCTCACACCAGACTTCTTGCTGCCAGTGGCTCGTATGAGTTGGAAGAGCTTCCGGTAATTACCAGATGCAGCTGCTGCTTCCAGCTCATTAGCACGCTCTAACCACCAGGCTTCTCGGTCCTTACGCAAGGTTTGCCCGATTTCATTACGTAACAGCTTTCGTTTTGTGGTCAAACTCACGGTCATCCGGAGTAGACCGACGGGCTTCAATAAGTTGTAAAGAGCCTAAAGAAACCCAGTGTTTATAAGCAGGACGTTTCGCGAAGCCGCAAGCGGCTTTACTCGCCATTTTCATGGCGTCATGAAGTACCATAAACTATGTTAAACTATATTTATGGTTGTTATTACATTATTCTTTAAATGATTAAATTGAAAAGAGAAAAAACACATGCATAAACAGTTAACTGAAATGAAAATCTGAAGTAAACATGTAAAATGTGTGAGAAAATAAAGATCAATTGAGACAATATCACATTTGGATAAAAGGTGTAGAACAAGAAAAATTAATTGGGAATTTTATGATTGATTACGTCATAAATACTCTCTGTGTTTACGCGCCTTTGTTCTCTTTCACTCTTCCACATTTCAAAATTGAACTTCTCATCTCGATAGTGGAAAGCATTGTAATGATTGTGTTGTGTTATTAGTTAACTGAATTGTTTTCCAAACATAAACAAAACTTATACTCTCTTTGTAAGATTAATGTAAATGGGAAAAGTGTTTAAATTATGGGAAGAAATAAAGTGTGTGTGTGTGACTTCATTCAAGTTCTACAGTGTTTATTAATTCACATTAATCTTTATTTTCACATAAACAAATTTGGTAAGAGTACACATACACATAATCGTTTTATTTTTGTCTGAGAAATATTTAGATGAAGAATAGATCAAATGAATGTGATCATCCTTTTTTCTTTTAAAAACTGTTAGTGATTCATTTACATGAAAATGAATATATTGCATGGTTTAAATCATGAAAGGATCTTAACCAAAATCATGACTGGAAAACTGAAACGAGTGGATGACTGTTTTGCCATAGTATGGGACTTCTCAGTAGATTAATTGATGATTTAAACTATGAAAATTCTACAATCTCTACGAATTACCTCTATACTACTACTACTACTAATAATAATAATAATAATAATTATTATTATTATTAGTATTATCTACTCACAAGTGACAATCTTCAGAGTAGACTTGCCGGAGTTCTAGTGAGAAGCTGTGGCTGGTTGAGTTCTATCATGTAGTGTGTAAGCATGTTGTGGAACATCTTGAGTTGATTGAATTTAAACATGTACACCGTTAGGTGTCTAATCAGTAGTCCATTTTTGCTAAATAACATTTATACTTAGCCATAATCTTTACATCATGATATTAGCTAATTTACTCTTCTTTGCTTACTATTATCTTGATCAACCCCCCTGATTGATTAGCTTAGATATCTTATTAGTGTAGGGTTACTTCTTTACTATTTTTGGAAGTCCAGACCATGATTCGAAAGTGACAAGTGACAGCTTTTACTGATAAATAACATTTTTAAAATCACATTTTTAAACTGTTGGTAATTTTTAAACCTTTAGAAATTTACGTTACACTTAAAAATTCACTATATGTACCTCATATAAACGATAGTTTTTCTACACATTCAAATCCTATCGTACAGTCAAACGATTAACCCTCACATAACAGGTCTGCGACTCCGAATCATTGTACATGAATCTACACTGAGCTACATTAAATCACATTATTTCTTTAGCCCCACCTGTGAATGGAAATAACAACGAGTTTGTATAATTTGAATGGGGTTTTTGTCAAGGATAGACATTGAAAACATTGGTATACTCAATTAACGTTCCGTCGCGCTGTGAGATTCTTTAACAAAGTAGATTCGTAACCTTTTCACTGATGTAAACCAGAATTGTCATGTCCCTCGTGGAACATGTCATCTTCCTCAGTCGGGATCTATCGGTTTACGATTTTAATTTCAGTCAGTCAGTGTTAGAATTAATTGTTATGCGACTTAATTTTGGATGATTGAAATCAGTATTGAACTTAAGTACCCAACTTATGTACATATTTATCACAATTGTGACTTCATCTAAATCTGAGATGGTCATTATTTATTGAAATTTGCAGTCATTATCGTTTTAAATACTCTTCAACTATAATAAAAATAAATTATGAATACGTAAAACGATGTTGTATTTATTTGCTTTTTACTATTTACAGGTTGATGAACTCTTAGAAAACTATGAAGAAAATACTATGTATGAGGTTGGTAAACTATTGGCTAATAAACTAAATATACCATTAACTGAAAATAACAGCTTGCCGTCTTGGTTTCCTCGTGTATCATCTAGACAGTTACGCAGCTCAGCTGGTGATAATCTGTTACCCAGTATAGAAGTGCCCAATGAGCAGTCTAATTATGTACGAGACGTTCAACAAAACCGTGATAATAACATTTCTAACAGTGGGAATGGCAGAGATCCACTAAGTTCTGTTCGTTACCCATTGAGTACTGCTTCTACTGGTGATAGGGGTGTCGTCGGTGGCAGTGGTAGCGTTTCTCCAGAATTGTGGGATGATGAAATATTCGATGATGCAATATTGAGTCATGCTGCTCAATCTATGGAGAAACAGTTAGATTATAGTAGAAGTGGTAAGCTTTTGTGGAGATTGTCAAATTTAGAGTTTATTATCACAGACTGACTTTAATTAGACAGACGTTCGAAACCAGTAAGCGCCAGACAGGTTTACGGTCTTAGTATGGGACTTTTCAGCAGTGGATATTCACAACCACATCAAGTATTGAATCTAGGAAATTTAGGTCTTGTGGGAATCACTTAACCTTCAGATTTGAAGGGGTTGTAGATAAGCAATTCTGAATAGAGTCCCATACTAAGGCGATTTTTTGAGCGATAACAGTTATCTCCTAACAATAGTTCAGTTCATTAAATTCGTCCTACAACTGATAATCTTTACTGCGGAGCACAATGCACGCCGATATCTGATATATAAGGGAAGTACCAAGTTCAAACAAGTTCTTATTATTGCCATATGGGGCTTGTGGGAGGTTGCAGAATTTTCATAGTTTAAATCACGAACTGATTTAATCCAAACAATCATTAAAAACTATGAAGTACTTCACAACTTTCAACCTAGTACGGGACTCTTCATCGATACTCATCCACAACCCCACCACAAGAGATTGAACCCAGGACCTTTAGTCCCATGGACGGAATGATTGTCCAATACTTTCTGGTTTTAATTGGTGGTCTAGCTAAGAACAGTTCGTGACTTGAACTATGAAAATTCTTGTTATTTAACTTATAGAACGTTTCGACTATTAGTAAATAGTTCCCCTCTAATAATTCTTTTAATTGACCTGAGATTATTATTTAATTCATTTCTTGAATTGATTTAAAACTATGTAATATCACATGAATCAATGAACTTCAAGGTAAAATAATTTTCATTTCAACTTTACACTAAATACTACTTATAAGTAAGCATGTTTTAAAAAACCATCGCAACTGCTTTCTCTTCAACAGTTAGCCTTGCTTAGAAAGTAATTTAAGGAGAAAACTTATGATCAGTTATCATAGCTAAATAGATTCATCACGTCCAAGTGACCGGCTCAGAAACTTTTTTTGTAAACACCCTAGGGATTTTGTTATAGTGTTGAATTTTTAAATATTACATATTTATGATCATACTGTCATAATAAGAATAGGACTACTCTAGAGGCTCTTTACAAATTCATTCTAGTCAATCAAATATAAGGTTGAATCTAGCACAAGTTTGAATTAGTCCGAGTTTTTGTATCTCGTATGAGCACAATGAGATAGAGACATAAGATGAAAAGCCAAGTTGTACAATATACTTTTTGAAAACTGAACATATAAAACCTAGTGTGAAATAAATGTGTGAATTAGTAATTTAATGGGTTGAAGGATCTAGACAACGAGTAAGGATAAATACATTTGGATGACTATGAAAAATTTCTGACCATAGGAATAATGCACTTTCAAATATAGCTCCCATTAATGGTCAATGACTTTATGGACTGACTCAACATCGTGGTTTAACTATACCCCAGTCGTCTTCCAACTTGCTTTTGTATTTTAACTTAAAGATTAGTTTACTACAAATAACGAACATCAAATCAATATTTTTTATAATGATTATTTCTAGGTGTATCGATTCCACGAAGTTCTGTCCATTCGTTCAATGATCCACTTCGTTTACCAACAAGTGTTATATCTGATGAACGAGAGCGACTGTCAAATGAATCTAAATTTAGTGGTCTTCAACGTACTCACAGTGTTGTTGATGAGAGCGAAAACAATGTTTCTATTGATAGCGATGATCCGTTTTTAGAAGATCAAGTCGATCCAGATATATTGGCTTCTGCTCTAGCTGAAATAGACGAACAACAGTCAATGAATTCTACAAACTTTCCCAAAACTAATCAGTTAAAAGGGAATGAGATGAGAATTTTTCAATCCAATAAAAATGTATCCGAAACAACTGCAACTTCGTCCACATTCTCATCAACTTTAATGAAAACAAGTACAGTAAGTCAACCGATAAAATCACAAATAGAATCAAAACAAAGTTTGAAACAAACGTTATTAAAGCTACAGTCACGCAGTCGATTAGTGAATAAACTGAATGATAATCCATCACTCCCTTCTTCTTCTTCTTCTTCTTCTAAACCTCAATCGACTGAACCATTCTCACCAGAACCAGTAAAACCAGACATCAAAAAAGTACAAACTAACATCGACAACAATGAAGATCTTCTGCCACCAGTTCCTAAACGTAAAACATTGGAATTCAAACAAACAAACAGTACTATTGCAAGTAATAGTAAATCTAAAAATATACTACAGTTTGCATCTTCATCCAGCCATCAAGTTGTTTCAACGGCTACAGAAGATAATCATGATAAACACATGGTCAGTAGTAGACAACTGTCATCCAGTTCATTGGAAATTGATTATCACTTTCATCCATTTTGTTATATTCAAGTGAGTTTAGACTAAGTTAACCCTTATATATTTCTGTCTTTTCAAAATCGCAAGCCTGATTTGACTTGTGGTGAAGATTAATCTCATTTTAAATTATTCGAAACCACTGAGCACTGGATGACTGATTTATCCTAATAAGGAATCCTTCAGCGTTAAAATTGATTGATTTTTGCAAGTCATTTGTCTACTACTGGGCTACGTACTCAACTCTGACTCATGTTGTTTGTGTTGGCTAATTCGACTACCTGACTAGTGAAACCAAAGTACGTGAAGTATAGGGTAAAACTAGCGACCCACAAGTTGGAAGCTGGGTAGCCTAACCATTTAACCACCTCCAGATACAATTACGTAACAAACTGTCTACAATTTATATTTTACATTTTCATAAAGTGTTCACTGGCAAATTGAAGCTATCGCGTACCTGGTAAAATCATTACTCAATTGTCATCTGTTAACATTTTGTTTCAAATTCGTATTATCTCAAATCAGTTAGTTCAATCTTCAGAAAACAATCTTCATCTTAACATGTTATCAACTTTAATGAGTAAACACAATAAGGTAACTAAGCTTGTGTTGCAAACAATATCTAGTATTAACTTGTAAAGGTGAATTAACTCAAAAACATATTAAGCAGTTGGATAGTTTAGACTAATAATAAACTGAACAAAAAAATTATTGAAGTAATTTATTTTCCTTCTGGTGTTGTTTGAAGAAAAAACAGGAAGGTTGATGAGAATCAGTTAGGTTATTAAAGTACTTGTCAAATGTCAAAACATATATATTCCTCGTTAACCATTTGACGGTGTCTTATACGAACAAATATTCACTTAGTTTAAACAAAATTATTTAATTATTCCCTTAGTTTTAAATGATGTAACTAACTAATATTTTTAATACGAATAATGCTATATGATCATCCCTCTGGAGGAAACTTTCACTTCTTGTTAGCTGAGTCTCAAAGTATTCTTCGTCAAAATACCTAGAGGCCCATAGTGGCTAGGAAACGTTTTACGTAATCAGCGTTGAATGGAATCTTCGCAGATACATCTATAAACTGCGAAATCATGCAGCACGCTTCTAATTGTTTGTTTACTTATACTGCCATTATATTTTTTGTGGCCCCAGAAATTTCCAGAAGCCCAAGGTCTTGTGTAGCTCTATAAGTATCCTCGTCTTTGCTTATATAATCTAACTTTGAAATTGATAAGTCTTCTAAACTAGTCTGAAACTATATCAGCTTATCTCTTTGTTCTTCTTTCATGGACCTCCTGAGTTTCTATTGATCGAAATATGAATAATCTTGTTTCCTGTAGTGTGGTTTAGTGAAATCTATGTAATTTTATGTATGGATTTGCGGAGGGAAATGTTCCCATCTATAACCATAATGTTGAAAATACACAGATTTACCAATCTCTCTCCATTCTAGTTCCTTTCTCCCAGTCCGTGTTGCCCCATAGTGCGTTCATGCTTAGCGCTGTCCATCTCAACTTTGGCGTATAGGTCCCCCATCAAGACAACTAGGTTTTGCCTTAGCCACTCATAAAACTGGTCTCTGTCCTTGCTGCTATCACTGATAGGTGCGTAGCACTGTATGACATTCACTGTATTCCCTTTAGTTTTAATGCTTTGATAATCCAGAAGCCATGTGATTCCCATCCTAATTTGGAACTGCTCAGTTATTCTCACTAATGAACTAGTATAGGATTGAGACGAAGATCATCAGTCATCACGTGGCTTAATGGTTCGTATTTTTAACTTTGATCAACTCATAATGTTACTCCCAAAGATTATCAATTATCTTCATGAATAACAGACTTGAAAGTCCCTGGCCTTATAGCTGATTTGTAGGTACTTACAGCCTTTAGAGCCTCGTGTGAAGACGCAACATCCATAGTGTTCGCTATATCTAAATTTCCATTTGAATGAAGTCAGCCTATCAAGTTATTCATCATCACATTGGAAAATCTGAACTAACTTGATGTTAATTATGGATTCTGTGTTCTCATCTACACATTTTTGCGCATCGCTTTATACTACTTGCTAATATTCAGTAATCAGTTCAAGTAATTTGTGATATCTAATATCCCAATGTACTTACATTAACTCAAGACATTTACTTTATTCATTATTTTCGTTACATCCTCTCAACCCTTGTAACTGTTATTTTTAGTTGCTTTTTTTGTATTCCTTGAATTTTCGTTTAAACTTGATAATTTATTTGTTTATGTGGTCTTAGTCCTGGTTCTGATTGTTGATAGTCATTATCGACTTTAGTCACAGCTACCGGCTGTCATTTACATCATCGAAGTATTTTTCTTTTCATACATATAAATACGTTAACCGAAACCGATACCATACGAGTTGAGAATCGTTCCTTACATAAATCGTTGTTTTGAACCTTGATTTCAGGCGTATCTTAGTCGTGTAGTCGAATGCTTCGATAGAATCAACATTTATTCATAACAAAACATAGGTTGGTGATACTATCTAGTTCTCCAAAAGCAACCCATGAAGTTGGTTAGCCACCAAAAGTCAAACTTCCACAGAAGTTCACTACAATTTCGGAAAACGATACTTGAAAAATGTTTCAAGATGGCTTTTTATCAGAATATTGTGAGTCCTAATATTGACTTATCTGAAGAAAGAATTATGATCGTGAACATAGTGTATCATCATGTAGGAGAAACATGAGGACGATGAATCTCAAGTTAATTCACTGAGAGCATGTAATGGCATTTTAAATCGATTTCGAAGTAGATGAAATTAAAAAGTGTTAGTGATTCAACTCAGTGTATAACCATATTGTAAATGCATATATCTGATAAATCTCATTGCAACGAAACATTCGCTCAGTGTTTTCTCATTTTCATTTAATTTCCAGTTATTTTCAAAAGACATATTGACATTACATATTCATTGATCGTTCTGAGGTTGAATTTTTTTTCAATCAACAGTTTTTTTAAATAAAAACTTTCATTTGTATTATCGTTAATACTGATTAGGTTTCATCATAATCTTTTGTAGGATATATATGATAAACTACTTAAAACAAAAGATAGTAGTAATGGTTCAGCCTCCATAAATACTGTTTACACAATTCGTGGTTTGCTTATTAGTTTGTTGTCATCATTAGAACATCATAATGGTACTAAATGGACACTAGCTGTGCGAATTACAGATGGTAGTGCAATTCTTGATCTAGATGTCGCTTCAGACTTACTAACTGAATGGATTGGTTTAACTCCTAGTGAAAGTGAATCATTAAGACGATTGAGTAAAATTGACTCGGATTCTTCGAATCCACTTGCACTTCAAGAGGTGAGTGTTATTTTCTTTTTTCATCCAGTCTGGTGATTCGAAACGTTTTTTCCTTACTCGATAATGATATTTTAAAACATTGCTGTGAGAGTATAATGAAATATTCATTCATCATTTTATCTCCATGATTGTTATATTATTCTGCTACACTTGTTTTTGATGCTTTACTGAAAAATGATTATTTTTTCAAATTGCAAACTGGTCTTAGCTAGAGCACCATTGAAAGCAGGACGTTTTGGCTAGGGTTTCATTCTAGTATGGGTCCCCTCATTATTGCACTTCTGTAACCCAATTAAAATCATTCTAGTTTTAAATACCTGACTTCATATTTCACTATAGTGTAGTCAGTTGAAATCTAACTACTACGAATTGACAACAAATAACAACAGTGGCATTATTTGTTGAAAAAGCCTAATAAGTTCATTTTATATTGTATTTTAAAGACGAATTACGAGTGTAGTTTTGTGAATTAACTTGACTATTATGTGATTAGTTAGTAAGGGATACTGTTCATATTTTCTTTTATATACTACCATCGTTTAGAGACGCTACATTTTTGATCGATAACTCCAGGAAAAAACTGTGAAGGATAAATGATTATTAAAACAAATTTGTAGAAATTTTGGATTAATAGATTTATAGCTTTAAGAGTTATAATTACATGGCATGACAGTCCGTCCGTATTGAAAAGTAAGGTAGTTGGGACCAATGGGTTTTTATAATGGTCGTGCTATTTCACCGGTTGGTTGGAATTAGTATTAGATCAGTGAATCTCAATACGATAGTATAAAAGTTAATTGTTTGTGGATCGTCCTGGGTTTAATCCCTATTGCAATGGAGATGTATACTGCTAGAGATATCATGATTAAAGTAAAAGTTCTGTTCAGCTCTGTATGATCTACAATGGATGACCTTATCGAATGACAATCCGTGAAGCACATGTCTAGTGTAAACAAACTAATCTTCACAAATTTCTTAACAGAAATAATTGTTATAACACAATAGATTCGGCTAAAAGCAAGATTCAGGAAGTATGTGTCATCCTATTTACGAGTTATGAGCTTGATATATCTGCACTCTAGTCTTAATGCTCACATCAGGATCAGAATCCTGTACTTTCGTCTCAAATGATAATGCGTTACTCACTGAGCTACTGAGTTAAGATTTTTATTGACTTTTTCAACACATGACGTGTTTATAACGTTATTACTAAGAGTTTAAACTATCCCGTCGTTGTACATTCAGCTGACGAGTCGCAAACAGGATGATACACATTCCTAGGTTTCCACTGTTATCCATAATTCATCTATTTTAAACAATCTTTGTTTCAAGTGACTATGTCAAGATAATCCGCATAGGATAACATACATCAAAATGAAGAAATGATCAGAATTCAGTCCCGAATATCAATAAAATGTTAAGCTAAAACCTTGTTATTATAGAAATTAATTTTTCATCTGTTACTCAATGATTATTTACAAATTCAATTAAATATTACTTATTTATTACATATACGTTCGAGTTCTTAGTCTCAGTCATCTGATAATTAAAAAATTAAATATCAGTTTTCCTTATGGTTAATACACAGGCATCATAATAGGACAGTTTCAAAGTGACTCCTCAATAAGGCAGGATTTGTATAATCTCTCATTAATGATTGAATTTATTTTCATCTTGAAATCCATATAAATATTGCTCACAATGTTACAATTGTTTAAGATATTGCGAGTCGTGGACTGTTATTACTGTTATTATTATTAGTAATAGTAATAATAATAATAATAATTTGGTTAGTGTTTATTTAGCAAAGTTATTTTCTGCAAGATGTAGATGCTGACCCCATGTCCAACTCTCTTCCTTTATCTGGGCTTGAAACTGACAGTTGCTCTAGAAGAGCTACAGGCAGAGCTAATAATAGTAATAAAATGTGTATATAATTCAAGACTTATTGAAAATTGAATATTCTTTGACTTCTGTGTATCTTAGAGAAGAGAAAAAAAGATGAGAAAAACAGCGAAAAGAACAACTTCTTTTCATTTTATACATTTATCATTATCATTTTATCTTTAATATTAAACATAAAAACCGTGTGAAAAGAGAAAAGTTAACTTAACTAGCTAAATGTTATTTTCATTATTATTTTTAATTTTCTAATGATTGCGTGACCGATTTTTGTACCAGGAAGTAAATGTCAAATTTACTTAAATAAAGTGTTATTATGTTCTTCTACTCTTTTCCACTTCATCACTGTCATGCTTTATATTTATTTAATTTGTTCATCTTGTCAATATATTCCTATACATATAATTTTATAGATAAGTTTTTCATTGGTTACGATAATTTATTTTCTTGTTTGTTTGTGTTTTATATATTGTTCTATTGTGTTATTGGTGGAGTTTTGTTCTATGAAGTGGATGGTTTGGTCGTGGAGCTTTCATCATTTTTCTGAACGACATCTCTACGGCCAAACCATCCAGCTCAAAGAACAAAACTCCACTGAAATCATCCACCTGAGCTATAAATCTTCTCCACCATCTCTATTGTGTTAGTTATTCTCCACTTTTTCTTATCATTATTATTATACAATGATGTGAGAATAGTTCAAAGCAATAATAGTAATACTGTTCATACTACTGATCTGCTTAAGTATTCTCATTTTATGTATTGTTATCTTTTATTTCTACTACTAGGCACAAAAACATCGTCAACGTTTACGTACAGCATTAACAAATTTCCAAATATTTTTATCACATTTAGGCGGTTTATTCAATATTACAATTCAAACATGCAATGATAATGTTGTAAAATGTGAAAAGAATACAGCAAACAATACTAATACTGCTAATACTACTACTACTAGTAGTAGTAGTAGTATCGATCAGTCATCTTTATCATCATCGATACGTCCCATTTTAATAGGTTATAAAGAAATAGATCAATGTTGGCTGAAAGAATTACAAAATAGAATTAATGTTCGTTATACAGAGAAAAGTTTGTTGTAAAAGATGAAAGATAAATAAATGAATTTTCATGTTATTCTTCATTTTATAAATAAATTAATTAATATATTTGTGCATAGTTTTATGTGTATTACAGTTTATGTTTGAACAGTATTATTTTATTACATTCCAGAGGAAATGTAAGATTATATGCAAATATTTACTATAACGATGACAAAACATACTGTTTCCTTTTGTTTTCTTATTGGTTTTTGTGGTAAATGATGGATAATAATTATACTTGTGACAGTTTAATGATGTTTTAATTGGTTGGAATTGTACAAAGTGGACTAGGTTTTTCTTAAGGGCGAATATTAATAATCTGTGGTATGGATTAGTAGTATCTTGATTCGAATTTTTCATTGGTAATTAGTTATATACATCAGTAAATCTTCTAATTAATCACTTGTAACCGACTTTCTAAATACTTCTCTAGACTCTATATCTACACTTAAAATCGTATAATAGGAAAAAGGTGCGAATTATGAGTAAAAGCTTCAGTTCAAATTGAATTGATATGCATAAAATCGGATTCACTTGTCGGTTTTTTTAGTGAACTTGATCTTCTAGAAACTTCCGTAGACTTCCGAATGCAGTATTAACGTAGGTAATTATTCAGCGTGATGCCAACCGGACGAAATTTTTAGACCCTTTCTGGACTTAAAGTGACTTTGTAGAGGGATATTTATGAACTTCCGACAACACGAATGTTATTTTGTTGTATATTTAAGTTATGAACATCTCTTTTTGACCGACTAGGTGAATTAAGTAGAAACCTATTTCTCTGTTTTCATCACCAATATATATATATATACAATATTAAGAAAACTCTAATTTATTGTCAGATATACTTTATTATTCAGTGTCACTTATTACAGGTTTGCATCATGAAATCAGTTGATGAAGCTACTTGTTGGTCGGAGCCTGTGTTACAAGGCGCTGACCTCTTAATCGTAACTTGTTCAACTCGAATTCGACTTCAACAGCAAAAAGAGTGTGTATTCATCTTTTATTATCTTCTAGATCTTGACCTTGGATAGTCATGAAGTTTAGTCTTGTTCATGCTGTAGTTTGTCTACGGTTGCTCTAATTGTGTCATTTTATATTTTACTATATTTTTATTTTATTCTCGTTGTTTTTCAGTCCTTGTTAAGATCTCTTGTTATCATCTTAAATACCTTATCGTTTTTAGTGAACTTCCTGATGAAAAGCAACGTGTTACTATAGTATCCTACTTTGAGAAGCTAAAAAAATTACTCGTTATTCTCTCTCTCTCTCTATTTATGTCCTAAATTCATTGCTCATAACTGAACTCGGTCTGTATAACGCTGAATGTGTTCCAATGATAAATGTCGGAAATTTGACTGTATCGAATAAAGGAGAAGAAAGCTACAACCATATAAATTTCATTTAGTATACCTATATCAATCATTCTCATATGATTGATACTAGTATGTAGTTAACGCTTAATTATTATAATTTATTAATGTGTTTATAAGTAACAATCATAACGTTTTTTAATAGGTATACTAATGAAGACATTGTTCTACTTATTAAACAGTCATATGATTTATGTCTAATTTCAATTAATGAGATTTGTTACATTGAATAATAATGATACTAATTGTCTTATTGGTACATTGAAAAATTTATAAGATTAAATCAGAGTTTTTAATTATGTCAAGATTTTATAATAGCAATAGTAGTACTCGGCAAAACAATATGTTATCATATTTAAATTAAAGATTTTGATGGATGAATTATGGATTACTTGAAGTTAGATATCAACACCGTTGGGTACCGAGTCAGTGGTCTAGAGTTTAAACGTTCTCACGCGAGACCGATAGGTCCTGAGTTCGAGCTTCGCGAGGCGGGATCATGGATGTGCACTGCTGAAGAGTCCCACAATAAGACGAAACAATCGTCCAGTGCTTCTAGGTTTTCCATGGTAGTCTAGTTTGAATTGCCTCATGATCTGAACTATTAAAATGAATTATAGTTAATAAATGAACGATTGCTGGTACTTTGCTTATATTCATCAACAGGTTAGTCATATTGTTTTGTTAAATATATATATATATATATATATATATATATATATATATTTGTGTGTGCAAATCATACATCTTTGAAAAATATTTTCGTCATGTGTTCTTATTTCAATGAATTATTAAGGCTCTTAGATTGTGTAGCACGAATTGGTAGTAGATTTTTGTATGCGTATATACCATTGGAGGTACTTTTTTATAGATATAGTATGCATATAAAAATCTAGAAGAAACAATTTTTTTTAAAAAAATTTAATGTTAGCTAAGAGATCAATAACCACACTGGATGTACTTTCAGTGATTCACCAACTGATATTCATCTGTCATGAAAACTTCATTCGAAATTAGCCAATCTTGATAAAACACACACTTAAAAGAAAATTTAAAAATAAAATCTCACAATTTTATTTATTCTTAAAATTAAAAAACAACATAGATTGTTCTGTTACTACCAGAAGTTTGAGGATATTTAATTTAGAGTTTCTATTACCATATAAATTTGTGAATGCACTATACTAACACGAACTAACTAACCTATTGTAGTTTTCAATGATTAATTGAGTAAAACCCATGCTTTATGTAAAAATAAAACGTTTTCGGCTATTCGTTTTGCCTATGATATAATCAAGTGGTATTGTAATGATCAAAAGCTCAGGTGCGGTAAGCTAATTTATTGTTTAATGCAGAATTATACTGTGGCTTATTAAAATATGGAAATCATACATTAAATACGTAAATTGCATATTTTCCTTCAGTTTTTCTCTACATACGTCACCATTCTTCCGATCCTGTTCTAATTCCGATCGTCATCCGTTTCCTTTCCTTTTCCCTTTATTTCACTCTACTGCTAATAAGTATCCAACTTCCAATTCCTGCTATATACTGCTTATGTCTGTCCAACCATTGTATGGTAATGTACAGAGTACTTGTGTTTCAGTGTGTTTTACCTGGACAATTTTTTATAAATAATCTACTTTTAATATAGGGGGATTTGTGGAAATTGTAGAATTTTCATAGCTTAAGACACAAACTGATCTCAGCTGAACTAATATTAAAAACCTGGAAACACTGGACGGCTCACTCTCCCTAGTATTGGATTCATCATCAGTGCACATATTCGACTCTGCATCTGATGATCAAATTTAAAAATTCCGGTCTCAGATGCGAACGCCAATCTAATATCTTCTTAGTTGACATCCAACGGTGTAAATATCTAACTTCAATGAACTCAAGATGTTCCACAACATGCTTACACACTACATGATAGAACTCAACCAGCCACAGCTTCTCACTAGAACTCCGGCAAGTCTACTCTGAAGATTGTCACTTGTGAGTAGATAATAATAATAATAATAATAATAATAATAATAATAATAATAATAATTATTATTATTATTATTATTATTATTATTAGTAGTAGTAGTAGTAGTAGTAGTATAGAGGTAATTCGTAGAGATTGTAGAATTTTCATAGTTTAAATCATCAATTAATCTACTGAGAAGTCCCATACTATGGCAAAACAGTCATCCACTCGTTTCAGTTTTCCAGTCATGATTTTGGTTAAGATCCTTTCATGATTTAAACCATGCAATATATTTATTTTCATGTAAATGAATAACTAACAGTTTTTAAAAGAAAAAAGGATGATCACATTCATTTGATCTATTCTTCATCTAAATATTTCTCAGACAAAAATAAAACGATTATGTGTATGTGTACTCTTACCAAATTTGTTTATGTGAAAATAAAGATTAATGTGAATTAATAAACACTGTAGAACTTGAATGAAGTCACCACACACACACACACACTTTATTTCTTCCCATAATTTAAACACTTTTCCCATTCACATTAATCTTACAAAGAGAGTATAAGTTTTGTTTATGCTTGGAAAACAATTCAGTTGACTAATAACATAACACAATCATTACAATGCTTTCCACTATCGAGATGAGAAGTTCAATTTTGAAATGTTGAAGAGTGAAACAGAACAAAGGCGTCTAAACACAGAGAGTATTTATGACGTAATCAATCATAAAATTCCCAATTAATTTTTCTTGTTCTACACCTTTTATCCAAATGTGATATTGTCTCAATTGATCTTTTGTTTTCTCACACATTTTACTTGTTTCCTTCAGATTTTCATTTCAGTTAACTGTTTATGCATGTGTTTTTTCTCTTTTCAATTTAATCATTTAAAGAATAATGAAATAACAACCATAAATATAGTTTATTGTATTGTATCTAACTGTATATTCAATGTTATTTTCATGCTCCATTGTTAATTCCTCATTTTTACCAGGTCATACACCCATATGTTGTTTATATTTTCCCATCAGATAAAAATGGTAATGTTTATGTTTGTTTTTTAATTTTAAAAGGTTTTATGAGTAGAATTATACTAGTTGGAATGTGAAGATTGACATGGATTACCAGTGGATTAGACTGACTACATTAGAAATGGATTAAATTGAAATAACTGGATACTATTCAACAATACCTAAAGTTGTTGTTCTTAATAATTTTCTCTAAAATTATTAAATTTCTCTCTTTTCCAGTAGTCTTCGAGAAAAAAAGTTAATTGGAGGCAATTAACTATTCTCTTTATTTCGTTGGTTCTACATGTGTGAATTTCATTAGAACCATGGTTTGACCTTAGTTAGACCGCTATTAAAAACTTGGAATTACTGGAAAATCACTTCGTCGTAGTATGGAACTTCCAAGTAATGACGATCTTCGACCCATAAGTTGGAATTGTATTTAGGATATTCGGTTTTGTGCAAAGACTTTTCACATGTAGACAACTGAACTGGCATTCGACGGTGTTTATATCTAATTTCAGTCAGTTCATGAAATCCAACAGTCTCCACAATCACACGTTATCAAAATTAATTATTTACCTTTTCATTATTTTGATCTGTAAGCATGTAAGATAACATTTCAGCTAGTGAATGATCATTGAGAGTCAAACAGAGTAGTGGACTATGTTGTTGACCTTGTCACCGATGTTACTGGGTTTCAATGATCTATATTTTTAGATGCTTATAATTCATAACTGACATTATTTTCACCATTGATTAGATTTGGAAATTCACTTCAGTTTACATGTAAAGTCATGGCTTTTTATTTCGTTTCAAGATGAATCGTCAGTACGTACAGCTTGAAATAACAAGGATGTTAGTCACTGCCAAGTATCGTTTGAGATTCAATTATTGTTTTAATTAAGAGAATCAAAAGTAGTTTAGCGCAAAAATTACTACTTCAGGATGCCATTTTCTAAAGCGTTTAGGTTATATTCATAATTGGTGCATATAAAAAGTTATCTTTTGATAAACATATTGTTTTTTTTTGTTGGTAAAGAATTCTTTAAGGATGAAAAAGTAACGGAGTAGTAAATATATTAAGACAAGTATATTGTCCTACAATATGTAAATTGTTTTTGTTTTTACATTGAAGTATAAGTTTAATGGGGATTAAACAAAAGGAGAATGCGAAAAAAATGACAATCAGGATTATAATCATTAAATGCAAATCAATAATACAAATTTCTGTCATCGATTGATGTGTTGTGAGCATCCAAACTGCACAAGTATTGGATCTTCACTCAACCACTTCGTTTAATTTTGCAAGTAGTTTTTTAAGATCACTGTTAAGAAGTGATTGAAATCAACTAAGTATCTCAAACACTCAGCTGTTGTTTGATT